CCAATAAATCATGATCATTGACCCTTTTTCAGTCGAAATTCATTTTTAACTACATTTCGCAATTCACGATTCCCGAGTTTTAAACACCTCAAGATTCCTTCTTCCTTCAACGTTATGATTCGTGATTCAAGATATCCCGCTTCAACCCTGATCCCTCAGCGGGACAACAGCAACGACTGCTGCACTTTAGATCTGTACGTGATTTGCACGTGAACTATACCGTGACACTTGTTCCCTTCGATATGAACTTGTATCTTTCCTCATCACTTAACACTGGAATATTGGGCCTTGATAAAGATCAATTAATCATTCTGACACTGTTTGTAAACTTTTATTGTAATCCATTTTGTTCAAGTATATATAAACTTTGCACTGAATAGTCTCGCTCAATCATTGCAGGATTTTTTTTGCAGATTCCTCTCGTAGTCTTGTGAGACGTTTATCCGTAGACGCTGTCACAGTGAAATGACGGATTAAAACGCTTTCACAATGATGCATAACCGCCTAAGGGCGAATTCTAAGCCGTGGTTTGGAAGTTAGCTTTTCAAGATTTGAAACCCTTATTACGCGTTTGATTGCCACATAACTTTCAAAAGGTAACTAAAATCTTTTACGTTATGTATAGTAGCGATCGTTACCACCAGCAAGAAAAGAAGAGAACTCATTCCAAGACATATCAGTTAATTGATTTAAAAAAAAAAAAATTGTTAAGAGGAAAATATGTCGTGAGTAATGCGAGTCCTTAAAGTGCTGTTATCAGTCTGGTTATCAGTTACAGTATCTGCAAGTTCAACAACTTGAGCGGAAGTCATCATTAGAGTCGAGTGGGAAGATGTTTGTGAGTCGAGTGGTATAAGTCTAGTGTTTTGTAATATGATTGGTCAGTTTCACCGAAATGTTATTTGGCTGTAAGACTGAAACCCTAGTTTCAGTTTTTCAGTGAACTTTTCATGGCAAACATCTCTTGCGTATGTCATACGGAACCTAACTTGAAACTTACGGATGGGCAATCTGCTCGAAAATTTCTAGCTTCATACCTCTCTTTCGCTTATGATCAGTCCTGTTAACTTTTTTTTCTGCTCTCAGACAGATTTTTTGTTTCAGAAAACTGTCGCCTGGCGTGATACTTAAACCGAAGTGAAGAGGAAATATTCAATTAAAAACTTTACCTGTAGCTTTATCGTTCTATAAGTTTTGCGTTCGGGCAAATATGAAGGTTTTCTAACCGCTATGTTGGGTAACCTGTGCTCCCTTAGTGGGAGATTGTTTATTCAGTTGGAGGAAA